CCTGCCCCCTACCCACGCAGTCCCCCCTCATCCTCCTCCAGGCTTGGGCCTGCCTCCAGCCAGCTACCCACCTCCTGCCGTCCCCCCTGGAGGACAGCCCCCTGTGCCCCCGCCCATTCCCCCACCTGGCATGCCTCCAGTTGGGGGGCTGGGGCGGGCAGCCTGGATGAGATAACGTGAGCCTTTTTTTCCCCCCTTTGTTTTTTTTAACAAGTTTTTCTAATCGACTTGCAGAGTAGTTGAAGTGGGTAAGCAGCAGGGTACCTTGTATAATGCGCGACAGTTGCAGTATGGGAAGAATGGAGCAGGCCCCTGGGATAAAATCAGGGTGGTCCTCACATCTAGAGGACGGGGACAGCCAGCTTTCAGAGTAGCCTCATCAGCGCCCTTGCAGTCTGACTGTGTACACTTGGTTCAGCTAATGTCTGAGAGTCCTGCACTGGGTTACTTTATACTAGTGAAGATGTTAACCAGCCATATTGGCTCAATAAATAGCTTCGGTAAGGAGTTAATTTCCTTCTAGAAATCAGTGCCTACTTTTCCTGGAAACTCAATTTTAAATAGTCAAATTCCATCTGAAGTCAAGCTGTTGTCATTTTCATTCAATGACGTTCTCTCCCATGACACCCAGAAGGGTCAGAAGAACCACATTTTTGATTTATAGATGTTTGCATCCTTTGTATTAAAATTATTTTGAAGGGGTTGCCTCGTTGGATGGCTTTTTTTTTTCCTCCAAGGAGAAGGGGAGAAATGTACTTGGAAAGTAATGTATGTTTACATCTATTTGCAAATTCCTGTACATAGAGATATATTTTTTAAGTGTGAATGTAACAACATACTGTGAATTCCATCTTGGTTACAAATGAGACTCCTTCAGTCAGTTATCCAAATAAAAGCAGTTCTGAAACTATCCCTTTCTTTGTGAATGGGTGGAAGGTAGGGCTCCAGGCCTTCGCAGTCCCTGGGTGATAAAGTTTGTAGCAGCCCTCCTTCGGACCCTGGGTACCGGGAGAGGCCTGGCTGCAGTTCACAGGAGCCAGCGCCAACCCCACGGCCTCCCAGGGCACTCTGGGTGGATCGGCACATTCGCCTGCCAAGCCAGCCTGCACCCATCCTCTGCCTGCCTTGGTTTCCTTTGGAGGACCTGGTTGAGTTCCAAACCAGCTGGAAACTTTTAAGCCTTGCTGCATAGAACACACACAGGAACACAGGCTTGCGTTTGAAACCCTTTCCACTTCTGGCCTGCGATGAGACGGAGGCAGCTGGAGGAGCAGCGGCCTCACCATCCACCTTGAGGGGCCAGGGCTGTGTCTGTGGAAGGGGCCCCGACTGAGCCCCCATCTGAGGTGCTTGAGGGGCCTTGGCCCTGTCTCTGCCTGCTGACCCTGCCACCCGTGACGGAAACAAGCACTGAGCACCCAGCCAGGAGGCTCACAAAGAGGCCTTTATTTATCTAGCTCAAAGTAGACACTATCACAATCTTGTTTTTACTCCTTTTACTAAAATAGTTCAAATCAATGTTTTTACCACACTATCAAAAAGTTCTATTCTTGTCTCCCCACGTCAGAGTGGTTGACTAGAAGGTAGAAACAGGCCGGGAGTCCACAGGCTCCCAGCTCTAAACGGCGCCAGGGCAGGAAGGGGTGGCTCCAGGTCTCACTGTGGCACCTTCTACAGAAAATAAGACGTAGCTGCCGGGCCCGGGGACAGAAACCAGACGTTCCAGTCCATCTCCAAAAAGCAGCACAAATACTTTCCCCCCACGGTATGAAAAATATACACCTCTACCGCTCTGCAGTCATGCATTTAGTTTTCTTTAAGAAAAAAAAAAAAAAATCAGTAGTATGTATCTTGTTTCCTCAAGTTTCAAGAAAAAAAAATGAAAGGTCACTTTTTTCTCTTTAAACACTGACGTGTAGCTAGTAACTTGGATAGAAAGGTGCCACCCTACAAAATGTGCTCAGCATGTTCTAAGGCCAGGATGGGCTTGGCCGCTGGGCTGGGGCTAGAAAGGAGACCTCCGTCTGTCACAGTGGAAACGGAAGCCGAGTGCCAGTGCCGCGTCTGGCTTCAAGATCAAGCATCAGAGCCTTCGAAATGGAAAGGGGGCATCTGAAAGGGCACCCCCGCTGGGGGCTTTCAGAGCTAAGGCTCCAGAAGGAAGGGGTTGCCCTCCCTGCTAGTGACAGAGCCGGGAGTCACCCTGAGCTGCAGCGCCCCCAGGGTTCCCCTGTGGGAAGGCCCATCTGACCCTCTACAGCCCACGGCTCTGCAACTGCCACCTGTATTCAGGTACGTGGCGTCGCTGCTGCTGGCTTTTAAAATCAGCTATTAGTTTGAGATGTGACTGTCACCAACAGAGTTCTGTCCTAGAAAGCCATCCCAGTGCCGTGTTGGCCCAGGGGGCACCAGCTTTGTGCTGCCTCTGTAACAGGCAGGAGGGTTCTCAAAGCAACATTCCACTGATCCTGGATGCCACTGCAGCATTAAAGACAGGGTCAGTCCCCGTGAGGGGAAAGGTGGCTTCAAGGCTGTTCTCTGGGCCTGTCTGCAGGAGATCCGCAGGTACCAGGAGCCCGGACTTATTGCTTATTTCAGTGGTGGCCAAGCCAACCTGACCCAAACATGATGCACACGGGCTCCCAGACTTGGCTCCCACTCAAAACTGACCCACACCCCTTGGGCTACTCTGCAGTTCTTTGGACTCCAAGACCCAGAAGGGCGTCTGCCCAGCTGCCCACTCGGGCAAGAATCACTCGGTACCATGAGCAGCAGGTGTTCACCCCACTTCCCGTGTATACCGCTAGTGACCGGGGAGCGTACCACCTGACCGGGTGACACCCCTTCCCAAAGAATCCAAAGAGCCTCCTGGCGACACCCACAGCAGGAGCGCCACACCATCCCATCACCAGCACCCACAGCAGGAGCGCCACACCATCCCATCACCAGCACCCACTTACAGCCCTGGGGCTAAGATGGGGGGCGTGAGCCTTTCCCCTGAGAGCAAACAGGCCGCGAGAACTGCTCAGGATAGAGCCGCCAGCTCGGGAGAGGGGCAGGGCAGCCACCTCCCTCCTCCTGCCTGCATCCCCAGCCGTGGGCCTGTGTGAGACCTGCTGGGTAGGACCACAGCCTCCCTGGGCTCTTCGGGTGGGGTTCTGAGCACCTGCTGGAAGACCACAGGAGTCTACTGAGGACCTTGTGAGGTCCTGGACTCAAGAGCCAGGGCTGCTTACAGCGGCACGAGCAGATATGGGGAAGCGCCTGTCCCCGCACTGCGGCTCTGGGATCTCCCGTCATGTGCCACACATCACCCCCTCGGCCTTATTTTCCTCACACACCACATTTTCTATTGCACTTTACAGTTTGTACATGGTCATTTACACGGAAGATCTCACTTGATCCCAGAATCCTGTGAGGAGGGCCTTCTGCTGCCGATTTTACAACGGAGAACACGGGCTCAGAGTAGGGAGGCAACTGTCCACCCGCAGCGACGGCAAGGCAGCGGGACTCAGCTCCGTCCGGCCGCCCTCTGGCCTCTCCAGCAGGTCAGCTGTCGGCTCACACCCCCCCAGTGAGGACCCCTGCCCTGTGTGTGCCGGATGACCTGAAGCCATAAGCATGGCTGAAAGGAACCTCAGAGCCCTGTTTCCACCAAGATCCCAGAGAGGCTGAGTGAACTGCTAAAGGTCACACCACAAACTAAAGGCAGAACCTGACCAGACCCCCTCCTTCCCAAAAAGAACAGAACTCTCATCTGCAGCCCGGAGAGCTCTGTCCACAGGGACCCGAGATGCAGCCAGGCCCTGGGGGAGGTCACAGCCAACCAGAGCCCCAGCTGTGGCCCAGTGCTGCCCATCAGGAAAATCACATATGGCTCAGCCCAGAAACTCTCCCCAGGGCCTTCCTATGTTACTGGCCTGTCATGTAAACCACAAATAGGGACGTGCCCCAAAAAGGGCATAGCCTGGACAGGGTGGCAGGGGGACATTGCAGAGACTGGGGGAGAGGGGGATGACCTCCAAAAGCAAGGAGCAGCAGGCATTGGGTGGCTGGGTGCAGATCCCCAGGGGTGAGGGCACCCTGAGCTCCAGATATGGGGTCACAGGAAGGGCCCAGGGCAGCCTCCAGCCAGCCACAGACATGGTGAGCGGCCTTGTCCACGTGCCGGGGACCCAGTGCTTGGTGGGCCAGGCCACGGCATGTGGGCGAGAAGTGGTACCACCTGTGTCAAGACCCAGGTAGCGGTGCTGTCCTTCCAGTGTGGGTGGCAGCCGGGGAGTAGGGGGTTTGATGAGTGGCCCCTCCATCCCAGGCGGGACACAGGAGCCTGGACAGTCCCCAGGCTGGATCTCAGAAGCAGCCTCCTGCTCATGGGGCTCAGGGCTCGGGGCCCAGAGAGGGAACGAGGCGTCCGGGCTGCTCTGCTGCAGGAACCGCCGCGGCGTCTCCTTCCCAGGTTGCTGGTGTGTGAGGCGGGAGATGGCGGCTTGGGCCAGTGCATCGGAGCCATGGCAGCTGGGCCAGGGCGGGCAGCGTCCTATGTACAGTTCACCACAGAGAAAGAAGACAAGGGCTGGACTGGAGGTCCTGCCCGTGTCTGGGGCCTGAAACTCCCCCTGGGGACTCCCAGCAGGGCCAGTCCACGTCCACAGAAGAGTGGCCCTACAAAGGCCCCTTGAACTGGTTCCCAGACAGGTGCTGCCGTATGGAGGGCTTGGAGCTGGCTGCATCTCCCAGCTTTCTCCAGACCACCTGTGGAGAGGACAGAGCTGTGAGTGGTGGCCTCACCCGCGTCCACCTGCCAGCTGTGTGCGTCCGCCGCCTCATCACAGCAGAATCACCCACGACCTCAGAGCCATGGGGCCAGGAGGGACGCCGAGGCCACTGCAGGCCCAGAGACACCCACATCAGGTCTTTGCATGCCCGCTATCGGGCCTGAGCAGGTCATTGCTGGGGTGTGGCTCAGCCTTGCAGCTGTGCAGTGGGGTCCATGAGCCCCACTAGGTGATGTGGGGGAGGGGCTGCACAGTTCGGAGCCCCTCGCCCCCCTTTAAGCCCTGGGTTCAGACCCTATGAAACTCCTTCCCCGATGGCTCCTGCAAGTACCCAAGGAGACCACTGACGGTGCTCAGCTGGGTCGGGCACGGGGCTCTTCTGGGCGGCCCCAGCCTGGTGGACTGAGGGCTTCCACCTGGACCTCCTGCTCTGAGGACCACCTGCCCAGCCAGCAGCCACAGGGGGCACCAGCAAGCTGGGAGGCCCAGGGGCCAGCACCCAGGGAACACCTGGGGTGAACAGACCAACCCCAGGGGGTGGGGGGCTCAGGCTCTGTCCAGAGCCCCTCATGGGGAGGGCAGATCTGCAGACACCACGGGCCCTCTGGGAAGGGCAGGGGGCAGTGAGGTGACGACCAGCCGGGGCTCTCAGTGCCTCCGAGGCCTCCCCTCAGCTATCCAAGGCCACTCAGCCCTCGCTGAGCATTCGAGAAATGGAGTCCCACATGGGGAAGGGTATGGCCATGCTGGGTGGCCCTGGTCGCACTCCCAGTGCCAAGCCTCTGCCCCCCAGCCCTGGAAGCCTCACGTTGCACATCTCGCGAACGATGGCCTTCTCCTTCTCACTCAGGTCCTCCTCGCAGCTGTCCTGGAGCTGCCGGTCCAGATTCTCATGTACTTCCAGGACCTGAAGGGAATGGGTCTTGGAGTCAGGGGCAGAGGCCACTGGCAGACCTTGGGCAAGTCACTTGGCCCCTGGGCCTCAGCCTCCCCTGCTGCACACCAAAGCTGAGGACCCTGAGCTGCTGGGCCCCTGGTGACAAGCGTGGAAAAAACTGAGGGGTAGGTCATCTTCTCACCCTGCTGACACTGTGGATGCCCTACAAAGGAAGCCCCTACAAGGGAAGCAGCTGATGGCTGGGCCATCTGGGAGGAAGGAGACAGGCTGGGCAGGGAAGACCCTCAGGTGGACTCACTACAACCCAGGGCCCGCTGGAGATGAGTGGGCACTCGCCACGTGGAGGGGGTGTGAGTAGGCATGGGCGTGTCCATGCACACATGTGGGATGTCATGGGGCATGTACGTAGGAGGAAGCGGGGCATGGGAGTGAGGACTGGGCTCAGGTGTGCACAGCCTGGAGAAACCAGAGCCCATCGGACTCACCCGTCAGCACCTGCAGAGGCTGGGCCTGGCAGACCTGAGGTTATTTCTAGCCCCACTCCTGCCCCTATCATTCTGGCCTTAGTAGGGTGCCTGCCCTCCCCGACCCCAGGCCTCAGTCTTGCTAGCTGCAGTGGCTCAAGGATGGCAGACAAGCGACACACTTATGACTGCCACCTCTGAGTTCTGCCTTCATGGTGCTCCAGGCAGCCATGGTCACCCAGCCACCCACACACAGGTGAAACCCCCCACCCCTGCCACTTGGATGCCCCCGCGTGCAAAGGTCCCACAGTCTCGCGGCGCACCCAGCATCCAGGGGCTCCTGAGGGAGCGGGTAGTGGCCCTTACCTTCATGGCGTGCACGACAGCCTCAGGCTTCTGTCCTGCAGGGCTGTAGCCAGCAGAGGGGGGCGAGGGCAGCTCAGGTGCGGGGCAGGCCAGGCCCTAGGGGAGGCAATCATACATCTCAGCTCACCCGGGCTGGCTCCCACATGGTGGCCACAGGAATGACCGGTGGCTCAGAGAAGTCCCCAATTCTGAGGGGCCAGGGTCCAGGCAGGAGGAAAAGGGGACTGGGGTGAGGCAGAGGAGGCAGGTGTGAGGACGGAGACCCAAGGAGCCCGCAGCCCCATCTGGCCGGTCCCACCCGTCAGGTCTTCTGCAGATGAAATGGTCCTTGATAGCACAGAGGCGAGAGGGGCGGTCCAGGGCCCACCCATACCTCTCAGGCTCCCCTACCACCCCGCACAGATAAGACCTGGCGTCTGTTTTGCAGGAAAATAAGTTCAGCCCAGGCAAGGCAAGAGACCCAGATTGCAGCAAGACCAGGAAGGTCTGGACTCAACCCTGGCACCTGACGCCAAACTCCCTTCCCCTGCCCACCCTGCAGCCCGGCTGGATGACGCTGGCTTCGCCCTGGGCACTCCTGGGGCCTGCCTCCTAGCTGCTACCTCCCAGCCCTGTGGGATGAATTGGCCGCCAGGTGCCCAGCTCCCACATCAGGCCTTGGGGAGGGGACCCAGCCTCTGTCAGAAGCTGCGTGTCTACCCAGGGGCAGGTGGTCCCACCCCCAGCTTCCTGCCTCTAAGGGTCCATGTGGCTGGGAAGCCAGGCGCAGGGCTGCTTCTCAGGCTGCAGTGGGGACCACGGGGGCCCAACAGGAACCAGGAGTTCACAAGATGCTGGGAGAGCTTGGGAGGAACTTACAAGTGCCCAAAGCCAGACAGAAAACACGCAGTGGTGCCCTGTGGGCCCTGGAAGCCCTGGGGTTTTGAGGACATCTTCGGGGCTCCCCACTCTGGCAATCCTTGGGCCAACCCTGAAAGCTGAGTCTGCTGCCCTCTCTGTAAATGGGGTTCTGATGACGCCTCCCAATGGCCTGGCAGGCTCAGGGAGCTGGGCTGGAATCCCACCCACCCAGGCCCGCGTCATGGGGCCACCTAACACTGCAGGGCTGGGCTCTGCGACCCTGAGGGCCCGGAAGCCCCTGCAGGCCTGGCAGCCAAACCCTGGTGCCCTCCCCGCCCGCCCTGGCCTGTACCTGCTCCCAGGGCCTTGCAGGTTGACCAGCTCCTGCCTCCACACGGAGACCAGGCCCCACCCCTGAAGCTAGGGGGCCTTGGGAGCAGCTACCTCCAGAGGCCCCCCGAGCCCTGGGGTCTAGGAAAGTGTCATTGAGGTGGGGCCCAACCCACGCTGAGCCTGTTTCCTTGTCTGGACAACAGAAAGAGTCCTCTGCCCAGGGTGTGTGGAGACCTCTATCTCCAGCCCAGGCTGTCGGATCTCTGTAGTGTAAGGAACCCAACAGGATGCCGGGCTTCCCCCTGGGGCAGCGCAAGGGGGCGCCCCGACCTGACGCAGAAGGCGGCACTCACCATGCCGGACAGCAGGGGGCACCAGTCGCACACGCACAGCCCTGGGAAACCTGGGCACCTACACCTTCCTGCACCTTCCGCTGCAGAACAGAGTCCATGTGCCAGCTGGACCCTGGCACCTCTGGCCTCATGTCCCCATCTGCACGAGGCCCCTGGGCTGCCTGTCCTGTTACAGCCCCCAGCTCCAGGGGACCAGGATTTCTGCAGCACAGGCAGGAGGGAAGCCAGGAGCATGGGGGTGGGCTGTGCAAGCTGCCCCTCTCCTGCCCACCTCACTGGGCAGTGCTGGGTGCCAGTGAGGGCGTGGCCTGGGATCCTGAAAGTGACACCAGGACTAGACAAAATCCTAGTGTTGCCTCCAGGGCATTCCCGGGGTGCAGGGGCCCCCAACTGCACTAGAACTCAACCCCCTCTGGCCACACACACCTCCCACTGATTAGGTACCCACTTAGGGCGGATGGGCCCACTGAGTCCTTGCCACACTGCTCCTGGCAGGCACTATCTTTTTACATGTCCATACACGCCCACTTTTTTTTTTTTTTCTGAGGCAGGATCTCACTCTTTTGCCCAGGCTGAAGTACAGTGGCACCATCTCAGCTCACTGCAGCCTCGACCTCCCAGGCTCAAGCAATCCTCCCATCCCAGCTTCCAGAGCAGTTGGGACTACAGGTGCACACCACCATGCCCAGCTTTTTTTTTTTTTTTTTTTTTGATACAGACAGGGTTTCATCATGTTGCCCAGGCTGGTCTTGAACTCCTGGACTCAATCAATCCTCCTGTCTTGGTCTCCCAAAGTGATGGGATTATAGGCGTGAGCCACTGAGCCTGGCCTACATGCCCACTTTACAGACAAGGAGAGTGAGGCTAACAGAATGGCTTGCCCAAGACCAAACAGCTTGTAAACAATGGGACTGGGCCTTGATCTCAAGTCTGTGGGACTCCTGAGCTGGTGCCCGAAGTGAGGATACCAGTGTGCACCAGAGAGAACTGAAAATAGACATCCACAAAATACCTGTCCCCAAACGCTCAGAGCAACACCATTCATGTGAGCCCAAACGTGGAAACGATCCAAATGTGCAGCAACAAATGAAGGAACTATGTATTCTACCCACACCACAGAATCGTATTCAGCCATGAAAAGCAATGGAGACCAACACAGGGTACCTGTGGTTGGACCCTGAGAACAAGATTCGGAGTGAAAGAAGCCAGACACAAAAGGCCACACGTCATGTGATTCCATTTATACGAAATATCCAGAATAGGCAAATCCATGGAGACAGAAAACGCCAACCAATCGGTGGTTGCCGGTGGCTGGGAGGAAGGGGGATGGGAGTGATGGCTGATGGGTACTGGGTGCCTTTCTGGGGTGATGAAAATGTTCTATTGTGATGATGGCCTAACTCTGCCCCAGGAGGCTGATGGTATAAACTGCCTCCCACCCTCCACTGGGGGCCAGCCCTGGGCACCTGCCCTCACAGCCAGCGGGTGGAGGGTACAGGCAGCAGAGGGCAGAGAGGGGGTGCCCACCCCAGAGAGTTACCTGCTTTACCCAAGGACTCTCCAGCATGCCCTCGCTGTGCCCATGACCCACAGGTAGCCTTAAAGGAGACTTGCCTGGGTCTGGAAGGGCCTGTGTCCCAGGCAGTGTCTGAGCCCGGAGACAGCCCTCCCCAGATAACCCCCTGTCTCTCCCCGGGGGTCCAAGTGCCGGACATGGGCTCTCCAGGACCCAGCGAGGGCCCACTGCCCTGTGAAAACTTCACAAGGCCTAGCCCCTGGGCCTCTGGCCCTGGCCCCTCCGCAGCAGCCACTTCAGCCACTTCTGCAGGCTTCATGGTGGCCCCTCCCACGAGACACCTTGACCCCTCAACACCCACTCCTGGGGGCCTGCCCACCAACCAGCCCCGATCCTGCCCCCTGCACCTCAGTTCATCACCCGGTCTCCCGGCCTCATGGAGGAATGACCCCTGCACAGCCCCCACGCTGGCCCCTGACCTCTAGGCACACACAGGCACCAGTACGCACTCACCACAGGGCCCTGGCCATCCTCCCCACCCCTATGAGCCTCACTTCCTCCTCTCCAAAGTAGGGGACACCCCCTGGTGCACAGGGCGGTCTAGAGGGAAAAAGGAGGCAAGGAGAACGAAACCCCTCCCAAGGTTGCCTCCTCCAGGAAGCCTTCCTGAACATTCCCGAACTCTGACAGCATTTTATCCACACTGTCAGGCCTCGAGGTTCAACCCATGCCCGGGGTGTGCTCTCCAGAGGCCTGCAGGGAGACAGCGTCTGGCGGGCCTGGTGAATGTGAGAGCTGTGCTTGCACAGCACTTCCCAACCTGCAGGCCACTCGAAGGACTTCAGGACACAGCACTGAGCAACTGCTAGCTGCTATTACTCCCTCCCATGATCTGAATGGATGAGAGGCACGGGGCATGAAGGCTAAGGAGCCAGCCCCGAGGGGGCATCCCTTGGCTTTTCAGAACCCTCCACCAAGAAACAGTTAGAGCCTCGTTCAGCCGAGGGACTCCTGGATAAATGCTTGGAATATCGGCCATCAGCGGGCTTTGCTGCCTGCACAGGCTCTACAGCTGCATTCCTGGAGAAGGTGGAAGGGCCGCAAAAGAGAAATCGCAGAGCCAGCAGCCAGCACTGAGGCCCAGCAAGCTCTGCGGGGGGTCCTGGGGTCAGCCTTGCGGGCGAGGGGTGGAGGGGAGAGCAGGAAGGGGCACAGCTGCTATGAGTGCATCCGCTGCCCAAGAAGCACCTCCATACATGGCTGTGCAGTTGCCACGAGGAGAACAGCCAGTGCTTCCTAAGCATCAGCTACGCACCTGCCAGGGCTCCCCCAGGTGTTAAGCCCCACAACAAGGCGAGGCTGCCAATGCTAGGAGGGCAAGTGGGCCTGGACTCCTGTGGCTCCCCACTGCCATCCCATCTATCTACAGGGCACATCCCTGAGCTAGGGTCCACTTCCCAGGAGCCGGCTCCAAGTCACCCACCCCGTTCCCTCCAGGCCAGGCCAGCCAGGTAGGGGCAGAGGATACCCCTGGAGGCATCCGGTTGGTCATTTCAGTGCAGAATCCACACACCTGAGCCCCACGCTCCAGGGCTGGCTGGGTACCCTCTCCCCACTGTGGCCAAGAAGTGGTGCAGGCTAATGAGCTGCTCAGAGGGACAGCGGCTGGGCACGGGCAGCCCTGCACATGTGCCTCTGGACACTGCCCTGCACCTCCAGCAGCGTCACCCCACTGGGGGCTCCACCTCTAACTGCCACACTGGACGGGACACAGGGCCTAGGGCTGGGGCTGAACTCGGACACCCAGATCCTTGTGCCCACCGGGCAGGTCACTGGCCCACCTGAGCCTCAGCCCCTCATCCAGAACATGTGGGCTTCTTTGGGGCACACACTCACGTTCTGCAGGGAGTCCTGGTAGGAGGGCGGCAGGGACGCAAGCTGCGACTCTGAATGGTAGGGCGAGAAGCCTTTCCGCAGCGCGCGGAACTCTCCAGAGCCTGCCTGCTGCAGGGGAGAGAGAGAGAGGGGTTAGACGGAGGGCCAGGCTGAGGAGGCCAAGAGCCCTGGGCGTGGCTCCTCACAGCAGCAGGGTCTGCTCAAAGGCACGGCCTCAGAGGACCCCTCCACCCTCCCCTCCACACCCCTTATCCATCCCCCAAGCCGGGATCAATCGATCTTCACTCTCCCCAACTCAGATGTCAGCGATCCACTCTCCAATGTGGGCTTCGTAAACATTTGCTGGATGGCTGAACAAACAGAATGAATGAATGAAGGAGAGCCAGCAAGAGTCAGTGAGGAGGGAGCATCTCTCCCTCCCCGCGACCCACCCTGGCTCCTCCGCTCCAACATCCTGCCCTTGGGTCCCTGCACAGACAGCACCCAGAGGGCCTGGGACAGCCATTGGCAGCACACGGGGCCACATCCACAGGCAAGGCCTCCCACCTCCCACGGGTTCAGGACTCTAGGGAGGCTCTGCCCGGGCTGCCTCCGCCATCGGACGGACAGGGAGCTCCTAAAGCAGGTCCTGGATGCTGCCTCTGAATCCCTGAGAACTCGTGGAAGGAGCTGTAACTAATGCCCTGTGCACAGGAGGGAGGGAGGAAGGCAGGCTTGGCCTTGGGCCCTTTGCTTAAGAGCAAAGCCAACACCCCCACCCCCCAGAAGTTGGGGCTGGGGACTGGGAACAGGAGCCAGAATGAATCCACGGGTCCCATAAATGTCTCAGTGTGCGAAGGTCAGTCCCACAGGGACCCTCCCATGGCCCAGCCCAGCAGAAGGCATGGGCCTTTCTTTCTGCATCACTAAGGGGTTTTGGGTGTTTCTGGCCCAAACACCCTTTTCTACTTCAAAGGAACTGAGAGAAAGCGGCTGGGCAGATAAGACACTGCGGAATGTGCCATAAATCAGCAGGCTGTTGAGTCAACCCAAACAAACTGCAGAGGAGAAGAGACAGAGGAGGCCCGGGCTGGGGCTGGGCTGGGGCGGGGGCAAAGAGGGCAGGACAGGCCACAGCCATGTCTGGGGTCCCAGTTCCATGCACCAGCCCCTCGGCCTGGCTGTGAAAGATCCCCCACACACCCTGCTTGCCTCCCTCAAACGCTGGACCTGGCTCCGCACTTCTCACAAGCCCCAGCCTCACTGAGGCCCAGCTCTGTGTTCTCCCAACCCCTTCAGAGCCCTGACCAGGCCCCCCACCGGGGCTGGGCGGTCTCAAGAGCATGGCTCAAGGGCCAGCAAACAGCCGTGTCCTTCGAGGCGGGTGAGGAGGGGAGTGGAGGCTTTACTACCAGCTCCCACAGAGGTCCGCGGAACCATGACCGGAAAGCAGGGATCCGGGCAGTGGCTCCCCTCATTAAGTAGCCCACACCCACCAGACGCTGGTCAGCCAGGGCAGCCGGGCACTGGAGGCTGGGGGCTGCTTCCTGGGCCTCGGGAGGACCTGGGTGTGGCCGAAGGTCGGGGAGGGGCATAAAGGAGAGAGAGAAGTGGGAACCAACCTTCCTGCAGGGCCCCCAAAGTGTGGTGGGTTTTAGATAACCCTGGTAAGCATCGCAAATGGGTCTCAGCACGGGGACCTTGGGTACAGCCCTGAACCATCAAATGGGACTGCCGTGTCCCGACCACGGCATTAACCCTGGCTGACCCTGCCCAGGTTAACCAGAGGCACTCACAGCCCCCAGCTGGGGGTCAGATCGAGGAAAGCCCCCACCCACCCACCCACCCACCAGGTACCAAAAAGAGGAAGA